TTAGAGTTATCTTAATTCATAAAGAGTATGCCAGACTCCCTCAAATCTAAATGTAACAGGATCCAAAATTGCTTTTGTTTGATGCAACTCATTACTTTTTTGCCACTGACAAAATTGATCAAGAATTTGCCTAACTTAAAAGCAAAATTAGTCTTATTAAAGTTAATGGAGCAATTCACAGTCAACACTGAGCAGGAAGCCATCCAAAATACAGTTGGTCAAAAAGGTAATAGCTAGACGTCATTGCCAATGCAAGATTTCTCAGAAAATTAAGGAATAGAAAGAATAAAGGATCACGGCATTTTATATGCACAAATCTTTCCTAGAGAGTTGTAAAGTGTCAGTGGTAACTTTCCTGTTTTTAAAAAATCTGTTACAGAGAACAGCTTAGAATCTACTAAGGTAAAGATAAGGGATCCCTGACCATTATGTCCAGTCGTGGCCGACTCTGGGGTTGCGGCGCTCATCTCGCTTTATTGGCCAAGGGAGCTGGTGTTTGTCCGCAGACAGCTTCCGGGTCATGTGGCCAGCATGACTAAGCTGCTTCTGGCGAACCAGAGCAGCGCAGGGAAACGCCGTTTACCTTCCCGCCAGAACGATACTTATTGATCTACTTGCACTTTGACATGCTTTTGAACTGCTAGGTTGGCGGCAGCAGGGACTGAGCAACGGGAGCTCACCCTGTCACGGGGATTTGAACTGCCGACCTTCTGTCCTACGCAAGTCCTAGGCTCTGTGGTTTAACCCACAGCACCACCCGTGTGCCTAGAACCACAAGCCAATAAACCAAAGATTATTTTTAGTTTACCACTCGAAGTTTATCTGAAGCAAACAAGCCATGAGCTGCCTGGGTATAGATGCAACAGTAAGCCAAGTCATGGCTTAGTCATAGATGCTGTGGTGGCAGCAGAACCAAGGGAGGACCTCAGAACTTACCACCTTCAATGCAGGAACCTGCATATGTGCTTGGCTCCCCCTAAGCCATGGTTTGGCTTACCATTATGTGCAAATGGGGTCGTTAAGCCTTCTGCTACCCTCAACTCTGGTGCATTCAGGAAACTGTCAGAAGGGAGAACCTACAGGTGCACATAGACTCTGCTTCCTGATGGTCTGCTGAACATGCAAATGCCAATGCTGGAGAGACACAGAAACTGGGAACAGGGAAGACACTCACCCCCCCCCCACACACATGTACAGTGTACACATGGAGAAATATAGCAGCAAATACTTTAGGAATGGCTTGATAGTCCAACTTGTTACCCCTTGGCAAACATGGCTCATTGTGCAGCCTTCTCTGTAGCAATGCCTTGGTTTTGAAAATTCCCTTGCCCTGGTGGCATGAACAGTCACATCCCTGATGAACATCTGTCACTACTTAAGACATTTTTACTCGCCCAGGTTTAAGATGGACCTAGTTAGCAGCTCTGGATTCTTAAATTTGAACGCTGTCAATTTTGATAGGTTTTCTGATCTTTCATTTCCTTTAGACTTTATGGGGAAAGGTTTCCAATTCTGATCTTGTAAGAGCAGTTCCCCCTATTAAGCATGTACAGCATAAGTTCACTGTAGCGAAAAACAAACTAAATGAAAAACAAATAAGATTTTCTCTCACATACAGAAAAAACTAAGGTCCATCTTTCTGTTTCTACCCCTGGAAATCCCATTGCTCTGACAAGCTCCTCCGCTTACATATTAACTGCTCTCATTTTTGTTCGGTCTCAGAAATAAAACTGTACCTAGGCTGAAACACAATATATAGATTAAATATACTGTGGAAAGTAAAACAAAAAACAAAAACCACCTTGGTGAGTACCTTTTAGACCTGCCTTCCACAACCTACTGCCCTCCAGATGTACTGAGCTACAACTCAGTGGCTGTTACCAAGCTCAGTTTTGGAAGGGACGGGTAATGAATCAGCATGCATAGTGAAGGTGATCACCCCCCAGAAACTGTGGGATGAAATGGAAGGAAACTTTGCTCACATAACCCAAGTTACTTGAATAGAGACACCAGGGATTAAACACAGAACCCTCTCCGGAAAAAGGAAGCCACAGCTTCCCCCATATAGAAGTTTATGGACTCTTGTGGTGCTTTACAAAGCACTTTTATCACATGGGTTTCACAGAAGGTATCTGTGAGCAGGAGCTATCAGGAATCTAGCATACATGGTTACATATCCTTCCTGGAGAATCCACCTTGGTTTTCCAATTCCAATGTGTTTTCTATATGTGTCTATCCATACCTGGGTTTATTATGAAACCACACCCATGGGGGGGGGGACTATATCAAAATGATCTCCCAATTAATACAGATAAAGCCAAACCAAGGCTGCCAGCAGCTCTATGGTGCTTGAACCAGGAACTTGTTCTGTTCCCTAGTACCATTCTATTGAAAGCAAAGAGCAGTGCACCAGAGCTGGTAAATAATTTGTGACCCTCTCCACTGAGGAAATAAGCATTTGCCTGGTTTTATTGATCAGTTGCATTTGCGGTTTCCCCTTCCAGAAGGAGCTTCATTTCTTAACCACCTGGGTTGTATTTATTTTCCAAGTAAGGTCTTCACTGAGATAAACTCCTTTAAATTCATAGGAGTTTATCTCAGTGAAGACCTTACTTGGAAAATAAATACAACCCAGGTGGTTAAGAAAGCCCAACAGAGACTCCATCTCCTCAGAGTCTTGCGGAAGAACAATGTCAATCAACATCTGATGATCTTCTACCGGTCAACAATAGAAAGTGTCCTTTCATACTGCATCACAGTGTGGTATGCTGGTTTGACATCATCTGATAGGAAGTGCCTACAGAGGGTGGTGAATACAGCACAAGATATTATGGGCTGTCCCGTGAATCCACTGGATGAAATAGCAGAAGAACGCTGCCTCAGGAGAGTACCCTGGCCAGCACTTTCTTGATCTTCTGCCCTAAGGCAGAAGATATAGAAGCATGATTAATCTCACCAACAGGGTAAAGAACAGCTTCTATCCGTGGGCTGTTAGGCTGCTAAATGAAAAGATAACAACAGAGCAACTGACTTTCAGGTTTGGTGGGTGTGCATCAGTAAACGAGGGGAATTAAGACTAAGAGAGCTGAGTGGAGGGTGCTCGTGTAATCTCACTGTATACAAGTTGTACAAGTGAGAATAAAGTATTTCAAATTTAACCTGCCTATTTAATTCCATTGCAGAATATGAACACAGAATTGGTACCACATTACTTATTAGGGATATGTGCTTTTACATTCTTTCAACAGTTGACAGGATAAACTGTGGTTCTTATACAGTAGATTCAATTCTTCCTGGAAGGAGGAGACCCATTTAAACCAGCTGCAGACATAAAAGAGATGCAGTGTATCACGATGGTATGAATAATGTCTTAGCTAACAACAACAGCCAAATTATGTTGGTGTTTGGCTATAAAAGAGGCACACAAACAAATAAATCAACATCTATCAAATATTTCCACTAGCAGCTAACATGCTCTCAGAGGACGAGAGATAGATGGCAAAGCAAAAGTGGTTAGACTGACTTTGAGGTAGCCATTTTAGTACTGTAACATACAGCTTTTATAATCACACTTGAGACCAGACCTTCTATTATTAATAAAACATACTGCACTGAGTTTGGAACAAATGCCTGTGATTCTCCACTGAAGAAAGGGGGAGGGGAGGCAATTTCCATCAATTGCTCCTGCAGAACCCCATGCTCCAGGGGCCCCTGGAGTTCCACCCCCCCCATACACACATAGTTGTTCCAGGGGGTCAGGGGCCTTCTGTAACAGCGTGGGGAACTGGAAACAGAAAAAACTTCTGGACTGATGGTTCCTACTAATGTGATTCTGTGAAGGTACCCGAGTTAAAATCATTAGGCTTTATTTCACATCACTGATACCAATTAATGTGGGTATCACATCATGAAGCACAGAGAGCGAGAACTGAACTGTCTCATGTTTGGTCTCTCCAGGCTTATAATCACTAAAGGTGCTATGGCCGATTGCTGAAACCTTAGGCCCCAAAGGATGGGTATCTTCTGGAGGACTGTTGAGACAGAAGGATTCACAGGTAATGCAATTGCTGTGAAAAAACAGGCAGTGATTCCTAAAAGGGAAGATCTTGTTGAATGCATGTTTTTTTAGCTTTCCATCTTTAAAAGACATCTTGATGGCTTTGCTGAGGTAGGGGTATGAAATATAGGATAAAATCCCAATTATCATTGTAAGTTTTCAACCACCACCTCTTCACCACAGACAGTCTCATGCTGTTTTTGAAATATACATAGGCATCAACTTTGCCAAATTTCCAAGTTTCTTCATTATTGCGGATCACCCAGTGGTATGGGTCAAGAGGAACCAACAAGAGGGCCTAACTGGCAGCCAGGGCAGTCAAGCCAAGATTGGTGTAATATGCTCAAGCCGTCTTCCTGGCTGCTGAACTCTGCACCAGCTGAAGTTTCCAAACAGTCTTCAGAGCCATCTCCACAAACCATGTGTTGTTGTAATCTAACATAGATTTAACATAGATTTAAGGGACGCGGGTGGCGCTGTGGGTAAAACCTCAGTGCCTAGGACTTGCTGATCGTAAGGTCGGCGGTTCGAATCCCCGCGGCGGGGTGAGCTCCCATCGTTCGGTCCCAGCTCCTGCCCACCTAGCAGTTCGAAGGCACCCCTAAGTGCAAGTAGATAAATAGGTACCGCTTTGTAGCGGAAAGGTAAACGGCGTTTCCGTGTGCTGCGCTGGTGCTGGCTCGCCAGAGCAGCTTCGTCACGCTGGCCACGTGACCCGGAAGTGTCTTCGAACAGTGCTGGCTCCCGGCCTCTTAAGCGAGATGAGCACGCAACCCCAGAGTCGGTCACGACTGGCCCGTACGGGCAGGGTTACCTTACCTTTACCTTTTAACATAGATTTAGTGCAATTACTCAGGATGGTGTACATCTGGTACAGCAACCACTGCAAAGCAGAAATTCCTATTACTCTTCCATTTCAATTACTCAAAGTCCTACAACTTACCAGATCAATCAGGCTCTCCTGTATTCTGTTGAGTGTGGTTCGAAGCCGGCTGCTGCTGAGTCCCAGTCCTGTCGTTTCAAACTGGAAGTGAGAGGGAATTCTAAGCAACACAATTTGGATGGCATACAAATAATCCAAAGGAATTTTCCCGTTTGCCTACATTCCATTGCCACATTGGATAAAAACTCAGCATGACATGGTATTTCAATCAAAATAAAAAATGGAAAAAGAGGTGGGATGGGGAGGGAAGGCAGCAGCAACACACTCAACACTGCACTCATATAAAAAGAAAAACTAAGTTTCATACACTACAACGACCACACACAATTCATACTGGACACATGAATTATCCACTGTATTAGGGGATAATTTTTCCCCTAGAATACTTTATATTGCACTTTGGGAAGCCATGTGCTTTGTATTCTTTGTGAGAATGGCATCAAACGGCACCAGACACCTTTGCCACATGAAGAACAAATTTAATGTAAATCAGAATGAAGAACTGTACTTGCTATTTAGTAGCAATTACCTTTGTGCTCTAAGATAACTAGTTACATAAGGAAGATTTCCTTTTGAAAAGATTCAGTGAAGTTACACCTACACAAACATTTGTGATTATGAATCAAGCAGAAAATGTTCCAGTGTCATGGTTCACAAAGACCCAAAGCCATTCCATTATAGGAATGAATAATACTAGCTCATCCTGTTGCAACTTACCACATTTTAAATTCAGTGGGAATTATAAGAGACCCAGACAGAGCTGCTCAGTTGACAAAACTATAGCGTGAGAACTAAGAAACATACATGCATTTCAAGGGTCAACTTCAACCATATTGTCAAAATATGGGTATGTGTTTCACACCAGGAATACATTTGTCAGTTCAGGAAGACACTCCTTTGCTTCGGATTCAACAGAACAGACCTTAACTATCATTCAAAAGCCACTCAAGCTAATGTACCTGTGCACTGGCCAAGTTACTCCCACTTATGTCCCACTGGGTAAGTGGCTTGAAGTAGACGAATGGGCTTGAATGATGGAAAAGGCTGAATATTTTAAATAGCATGCCACTTTTACATGGGCAACTGAATATGGAAGAACACTTAAGGCAATCTGTGATTCTTTATAGCACACACATCTGCAGTGTGTGGGCTGAGATGACAGACTTTCACTTAGAGAAGTTTACAATAAAATTATTAATGTCTTCAAAGGTTCAAAAACATTTCCTTTTCAATTTAGTGGGGTTGACCCTACTCAATGGTATCCCCAACACAGGCAGCTTATTGTAGGAGGGGGGTTGCACTCTATGGCCCTCAGGGTCCCCTCCCACACTACAATTCTATCATTCTTTTATTCTACTGGCCTAAAGGGCATACCAAATTGTTGTTGTTGTTGTTGTTGTTGTTGTTGTTGTTGTTGTTGTTGTTGTTGTTGTTATTATTATTATTATTATTATTATTATTATTATTAGCAAAGTTGTTTGAGGTCTTCAGAGATGCTAGATTATCATTTCATCTTTACAAGAAGGCTAAATTAAATTCATAGACCCTTTTCGTAAGCTGTATGTTTCCCATGGGAACTGCTCTTCAAAAAGCCAAACAATAAGGAACACTACAGTAGGAAACACAATGTTCAAAAAGCCAACTCTTGCGCATTTACCTGCCTAGCACTGTGTTGTTCTCTGCTAGATGTGGAAAGTGTAGAACTGGGTAAAAGCTTTAAAATGCAAACAGGAGGTGCAAGGGAGGGGGGATTAAAGAAGGAGCAGCAGAAACAGCCAATGAAAATCAAGTCAGTGTTAAAAAAACTATTTGCTGTTCATCTCTGTAAACAACCAAATCTCAATGTTATTACTCCTGCCAAAAGAACAGCCCTAGACAATTTGGAACCATGTGTGGATCTGTCAAGCAAATAAATGACTGATTTAGGATCCCATCCTGTTAAAGCTCGTGGGGCACTTGATTCTAGTATTTGCATTGCTTCTGGGATTCTTGCAACATGGAAAATACTGTTCCTTAGTACTAATATTCTGAACATACCTTTCAGATTTGCAAGTTATAAATGAATAAACAAATGATCTGTGGCATGTGTGAAATGTATCCAGTTATTTAACACCTAGTTTCTCAATGCTGCAAGGTGCCTTCAGATTTGAAGGGTAGAGTGGGCACCTCCCTATATTCTTCTCCTAGTGTTATCTTAAAAGGAGCAAGAGACCTTGAGGAGCATCATCCCTCCCTTATACTCTTTCAGTCACTGTAAGCAAAACAGCAGCATATCCCAGTACCACTTGGCACTCACATGCCATTGATTTCCATTGGAACTGCAGCTTACTCAGTCCTTATTATTACCACACAGCCACTACCCTGCATGTCTCATCCAAATTCCTCTTATTAGTCTGCCTGTGGGCAAGCTTGTGTAGGGTTGTTGTTGTTATGGGTTTTTTATGAGGGTTTCTTTCCTTGGTCTTGTTATGACATTTTGAGAGAGCCTCCAAATTAAAGGAACATCATATCTGAAAAGCAATTAGCTGAACAAAATGAATTATTCTAGCGAAACCCCCATCTTCTCTCTCACAATATCACAAACCAGAAACCAATTTTTCCGTAATCCTCAGATTGTTTCCTCATAACAACATTTCTTTCTCTATGACATCTGGGAAGCAGAGATAGGTGTAAACCCTCGCACAGATCTTATACCATTTACACTTCTAGAATTGCAAATTAATATTCCAGCTATCGCTACCCCCTTATACTATTCCCCTTCACCATGCATGCACACACACTGATTAAACGGCAATATTTACTTACCGTGTCATTTCGGCCAAAAAACATATATATTGCATACATGTAGTAGTCAAAAAGCTGGGACATGAAGTGGATCACATCAAATGCAATGGGCTTCAAGATGTTCATCATCTGCATGTATTTGCCTTCAAAGACAAAAAAGAACACCACAAAAAGTTCAACTTTCCATGCCACGCTGATGTCAAACCAGCTTTTATACATACTTATTATTAGTGAAATGCCCATACTGTACTGGTGGTTGGCAAGGTGTGTGCGAGTGGATGCTAGAGGACTGAGTCTCTGTGTGCATCCCATGAAAACACAATAAACGATCCATGCTGGGCCTGCCCATTCTGCAATATTGCCCCCCCCCAATATTGGATAGAATAGCAGCTATTTCCTTACATAACTGAAAGCAAAGGTCACCATAGGTTAGGATTTAAACCAGAGCTTTCTAAACTTTTCATGTTGGTGACACACATTTTAGACATGCATTTTAGACATGCACCTTTCACAGACTACAATTCCTAGGATTCTTTTTTAGGGGGTGGGAAGGGTGTGCTTTAAACATATGGTTGTGTGCACAGCCTAGATGTGTGGTGGAATGTTGCAAACTGGCATAGATAGGGCAACCTTGCCACGTTGGCAGTGTGAAGCACTTCCCTGCTCAGGATTCCAGCCCCTCAGCTATCAATCAGTATTAAAGAGCCACGGAGCACTTTCAATTCTCACTGGGCTGTTCTGTGGTTCCCCCACTTAGGTTTTATTTCTAATACTGCTGCTATTGTTGTTTTGCACTTCTGCAAATTGCAAAGGCCTGCTAATACCTCTCCTCTTGGAAGTGGGTGGCACCTACATAAAAAGTGGCAATCACAGCCTGGACATCAGAAATAGAGGTAATGATAATAAACCTTGCGAAATCAGAACCCGGAAAGTTTAAGCACGTTTATGGGAAAAATACCGTACCACCGTTTTTAGCTTAAGGCAGTATCTCATTTATTATAATACATTGCACTAGCCCATGAAATAGCATTAAATCTGCAATGCAAACTTAGGCAATGAAATGCCCTAATGATTTTATGTTCCTCGATTACAAACATCCTTCTAAGCCTTGGTAGTTTTGAACATTTCCTTAAATTCTGCTCATTCCCCCTTTTTCTCTGGGGTTGCCCATCCTTGCACCCGGGAGCAGTCCCAATGTTACCGATCACATTTATGGAGAGAAATAACATCTGAAGCTGTCGGTAACTGATATGTATGTCAACGATTCCAATAACACCCAAGACCCAATCCCATGGGCCTGGATTTTCCAAACATCTCTTTCAATGGGAACATCTACTTAACAGAAAGGCTAGAAGATAGGACTTAAGAGTCTATGAGGAAGACAAGGAACTCTTCCCTAAATCTTGCCCCTGTAAAATCTTTTCTCCCTTAGATGCCAAGAACATTTCTCTATCACTACATCATTCTGCATCTTGACACTGTTCAGGCTCCAGGAACATTTCTTCTTCATTCCTTCCATAAGATAATGCCAATTTTTAAACTCTCTCCTATAAACCTAGTAGACAACCTTTTTTTTTTTTTTTGCACTAAACAGGTATTTTGAAAAGGAACCACCAGAAAAGTCACCAACAGGACCATCAGCAGAGTGTGCCCCCCCCAATCCCCTAGAATAACTAGAAGGGAAGGGAAGAACATTATGAGCAGCAATTGCAGTGAAACCAGACTTTTACAAAGATGCAATCAACTACACACTTTTTTGACAAATTGTTTGCCATTGGCACATATTTCTTGGCAATCTGGATTCTAAAACAAGTGTGATATTAAGACTTCCAGGCAAAACTATATGGGGTGAGTTACTTTTTAATATTTAAAAGCCTGCAACTTTTATGTTTTCGGTTTACTATATAATTTGTCAAGTGCTTATGGATGCATTTAGAATAATTTCATGATAGGCTCTCACAGTAACAGGGTTTACATGGCCGTGGGTAATTCTTACATAGCATAGAATCCTACAGTTATGATGATCACAGTTAAAATTTCCATTACACGATGGTTCACTGCAAGACGTCTTTTCCAGCTCTCACAAGCTGGAACCATCAAGCGGAGGGGGCAATAGCTCACATTAACCTTATCTCAAATAGATTATGAAGGATTCATCCAAGTATGCCCTTAAAGTCTGGCAGAAAAAGAGATAACAGAAATGTATTTCTGCTTTATGTTTTGTGTGAGAAATTAAGCAGCAGAACACATAATGAACCATATAGGAATATCTTAGAGGTGTTACTCAAGGTGTTTGTAAATTGCAATATAGCTTCAAGAAAAATCGCAGTGGCCCATGCAAGATTGCTTTATTTATTTTCATTGCAATTTACTGCTTGATTGTAAAAGCAACAACCAAAAAACACAAAAGCTCAAAGCAGTTTTTAAAAACCTCAAAGCACCCCAGATTTCTAAGTCAGTGTTCACTGCCTTTTTCATGCTTTTTTTTTAAAAAAAGGATATCCATGCTTTTTACTCTTTGCATATCTTCACCTAGAAATTTCCTTTCATGCTGGAGTTGGATAATGCATGAAAAGCCCAGTTTTACAATTTCTTACCCTAACGTGTCTCACAGGGTTATTGAAAGGATATATAGATTCTACAAGACTTTTTGTGCAACAAAAGCACAACAGACATGCCAATTAGTAATTATCAAATACAGAATAGGGAAAAGCATTTTTAACCCCTTCCCCCGCCTTTAGAACACTGACACAGCAAAATATTTCATGGTAGGGTTAGTTTCAACAAATAACTTTTGCATATCCACTATTCTTTATTTAGGTACCTGTTTATAAAACCATGGCTGCAGTCCAAAGAGCCTATTAAGGCATATAAAGTTCAGGGATAGAATCACAGAATTGTAGAGACCCTGAGAGTCATCTACTTTAACTCCCTACAATGAAGGAATCTCAACTAAAGATAACAGATGGCCATCCAACCTCTGCTTACAAAACTCAGTTGAAGTCTCCCATGACTACTATATTTCTCCTTTTTGAATGTTTGGTATTCTGCTCTAGGAAGGCATCATCCAAGTCTTCAGTCTGACTTGGAGATCCATAGCAGACACACACAGTAAGGTCACTGATGTTTCCCTCTACCACAATTTTTACCCATATACTTTCTATCTGCCTTCCATGCTCCAGGTCACTGATCTGAGAGACAACACTTTATCATCTGTGCTTTAGATAATGCATTCTTTCAATATTCCCTAAATACACTGGAATATGGCCAGTTCTACCCCATAATGGCCAACCTAGCTAGGGATATCCTTTAAAGAAGCTATGAAGGAAGGAAATAAAGAACAACCAAAGAACTGGGAGTTCGGGCACAAACATCTTTCCTCACATTTCTGGCTTGTAAGTAAATAAGTAATCTTTGCCAAATTAATCTAAACTCTGTAAAGAATGAAGTGCCCGCTTTGATTTTTAGACGGCAATTCTGCATATTCTTCAACCAGATGTGTCAACAGTCTTATTAGTTCAGAGAAAGATACCGTGCGTTTGGCCAAGAAATATTGAGCAATATTTATCGAATTATTACTGCAGCATCCCAGAAGAGCTCAGAGTGCGTAGGTCATGCTCACAAAGGCAATGTTTTCCCAGAGTCTAACGAAGTTTCAGGTAACAGCATGGGGAGAACAAGATTGCTGGCAAGGATGCATGGAAATGAGGTTCCACACAACACAATTCAATTACATTCCCTCGTGTCCATCAGATGAAAATCCATTTACCTACATTGTAGATTAAGGTAATGACTTCGTGTGATAACTTTTTGTTCTAAGCATCGTAAAAGGCAATAAAAAGCCCCCAAACACCGAAGGGCTTTCTGTTACACCAGTCAGTGGCAAAGCACATTTGTGGGCACGCACGTTGGCTCAGTACAAGTATTCTCCGAGGTTTGCATCCTAGCTAACATTAAGTAGTGGGCGTTGTAACCAAATGACAGCATGTCTGACACATCGCCGCCTGTTAAATAAAACCTTACACCCACAAGAACATAAGAAGAGCTCTGCTAGCTCAGGCCAGTGGCCAGTCTAGCCCATCATCTTGTTCTCACAGTGGCCAAACAGATGCTGAAAGCAGGACCTAAGCACAGCACTGCTCTCCCATCTGATTCCAGCAACTGCTGCTCAGAAGCACACTGCATCTGGTATGGAGACAGCACACAGGCACAAAGGTTTGTAGGCACCCTCCATGAACTTGTCTAATCTTCTACTGAAGCCATAGGAGCCAACTCCTAGGGGCCGGGGTCCCTTCGGCCCCCCAAATAAAACATTTGAGGGGGTTTCCTCCCCAAGTTGATGGGCATTGCCATTCAAATGGTGTCTGTGTGCCGCATCATATGATCAATTATGTGGTTATGTGGGGCGGGACTTACCTGCCTCGGCCCCATGTTTTATTCAACTTGGCATCCCTGGTTGAAGCCATCCGAGTTGGCAGCCATCATTGCTTCTTGTGGGAAAGAATTCCATAGTTTATCTAGGCCAGTGATGGCCAAACTTGGCCCTCCAGCTGTTTTGGGACTACAATTCCCATCATCCCTGGCCACTGGACCTGTTAGCTAGGGATGATGGGAGTTGTAGTCCCAAAACAGCTGGAGGGCCAAGTTTGGCCATCACTGATCTAGGCTCTGTGCAAAGAAGTACTTCCTTTTGTCTGTCCTGAATCCATGGGATGTCCTTCAGTTCTATTATTATAAGAGATGGGGAGGGGAATGCACTCTATCCACTTTCTCTATACCACACATAATTTTATACACTTCTATCATGTTGCCTCTTAGGAAAATAAAGAAAGTTGAACACGTGCCAGATATACTCCAAGCGGAGTGGATATTATATGCCAGACACTGGAAAAACTACAGAAAACCAGCTAAAATATGGGAGCAGCTGAGAGATAATGAAGCTAAAAAGGGTGGTGGAAAAAGGAGGAGCATTATAAGGAGGCATCGACTGCCTGAGAACCCCCAGTTAATTACATTAAACAATAGCTAGGGACTGATTGCACACACCTGTGAAAATGTTGTAAGATAATGTGGTGGATTGCTAAATAGGAATATTTTCATGAAGCTATTTTTGTAATGAAGCATATTCCATTCTTTGAATTAATAGTTATAACTATTTCTCCCCTCCTGGTGTGCTTTTGTCGTGCTTTTCTCTTGTAAATATACTGCAGCATCCCTTCATGATAAATTATCTTGCAATCTTTTATCATTTTGTTTCACATTGTAATTTTTGTATTTTTTGGTAACAAAAATATAACAGCAACGGCAGCGGCAACAAACTCAGAACTATTCAAAGATGAGACCACAACACTCCTGCTATAAAGTTTTAAAAGCTAGGCAATTCTAAATATAAAACACACACACGCTGATAAAACATGCAGGTTGTATTAAGAAAGCAAGGAACCATTTCACTTACCAACAAGTCTTATTACATTCAGTGTAGTGTTGGTCAAAATGGGAGCGTTCACCTTACTGAGGCAATAATCTGATCGCTTCCTGCTTCTCAAAGTTTCTCGAGAAATACTAGGTAGAAAAATTATTAGGTATAAGTGCACAGACATGGACCACGCAGATGGGGAAGTTAATGTTCCGCTTATATTTTGTTCTTGTCACTAAAGGAGCAGAGCATAGTAATGTTTTGTAAGTAAACACACTGCCATGCGGCCCCTTGGAAAGCTGCCCAGAAGGAAATGCGGCCCTTCAGGCTAAAACAAGTTCTCTAGCCCAGTGTTTCCCAACCTTGGGCCTCCAGCTGTTTTTGAACTACAATTCCCATCATCCCTGACCACTGGTCTTGCTAGCTAGGGATGATGGGAGTTGTAGTCCAAAAACAGCTGGAGGCCCAAGGTTGGGAAACACTGCTCTAGCCCAGATCTAGAAATGAAGGGGCTTAAGCATCCTTCCAAAAAATTTGCATTCGGGGTGGATATGGCTGGCCCAATAATGGCAAGGCTTTGACTGGAATTAAGAAGTACTGGGAGTTAGGTAAAATGTTACTTTCATTTTGAGAGAATAAAATAAGAGATGGCTCCTTTAGTCAGAACAGAGTATCGCTTCCTAGTAGCCTCGGGCTTCCACACCTGTTTATCTATCCTCTACAACAGGAATACATTTATCACCTCATACCCTTAGTAATTAAGTCATACTGAAGTCATGCCTAATTTCAATTTTGCCAATTAACAAAAGGATGGAAAAAAAAGGTCTTAGCCCAAGCGCTTAAAATGATAAATGGCTTTATTTTAGCTGGAGCGTGCAGCATTTTAATTTCTTCATGGAATAATTATCAGAGCTACAAAGGCCAAGCAAAGCTCTTGCTGACTTTTTAGCTATGAAGATCATATGGATGTAAAAGCTGTAACGCTAACGCCTCCATTTGCAAAGATCTATTTTCTCATTCCCAAAGTAGCATTCATTTGCCTCCACGTTGTTACTCATCTGCCTTGTAAGATGCTAAACGGAGTTGTGCAGCTTCCACCCATTTTAGATCTCCACCTTCTCTAATCAAAGAACACCAGAAGAGCCCTATTGGATCAGGTGAGTGGCACACCTGTTCACATCCTGCTCTCACAGTGGCCAACCCAGATGCCTATGGGAAACCAGCAAGCCGAACCTGAGTCCAACAGTGCTCTCGCCTCCTGCGGTTTCCAAGCAATTGAAATTCAGATGCATACTCCCTCCGACAGTGGCGGTAGAACACAAAGATTTAGGAGCCTTTGACAACCTTTTATCCTCCATGAATTGTTTTTTTTAAACCCATCCAAGCTGGTGGCCATTGCTAGGAGAAGGACTGCCTGCTCCTATATGAACCTGGCTGCTCTAGACATAGTCAGATGCTCTGCTTTGGGTACCACCACCACCTCCAGAACAAAGGCAGGTCACAACCAGATGTGGGGCTTTTTCCTGTAACAGTTTAAAAACGTCCAAGGTGGCTGATAAAAAGCATGAACGTCAAACAGTGGTTTTCCAAACAGTGTTCTGGAGTTCCTCAGTTGACTATCAAGGGTTCCCTAGTGAGAAGATCAGTAATAGCAGATTAGCTTTGCTTAACGATCACTTGCCCATCACTGCCAAGAGCAGCTATAGAAGCTTGCGTGCTCGCTGTTTACACAGGTACATGGTTAACAACTAACAGGCCTAGGCAATTCTCTCTTTAAACCAAGGATGGCTATCCTGTGGCTATCCCAGATGCTGCTGGACTCCAACTCCCATCATCCCTGACAACTGGCCATGCTGGCTGAGGCTGATGGGAGCTGGAGTCCAAAAACAACACGAGTGTCGCAGATGACGCATCCTTGCTTTTAAACAGATGGCACCCTAGAACAGAATACTCTGCACTACGCAGGGGCTTTCGTGGCACATACAAGCATGGTGGGAGCAGCAGGTAGGGAGTGTTCCTCGCTAGACAAATGGATGTAGAAAGAGTTACCTTAAGATATGCATGGGGGGGTGGCTTTCGAAGTCCCACTAAGGATGATTTGACAGTATATATGTTTATGCTTAAGCATATCAGAAAAAATAAGTTATGAAATGTGTGTTCAAGGTACCTTTTTACTGGAGCATCTCCAGTCTGTTCATCAACATAGTCTCTCTTCAGTTCTTCAGGAACGTCGCTATCGCTGTCATACTCTTGATAGGCACTCTTTTCCTGCTCATCCGATTCATACTATCAAAATAAACCGTAAGTGCTTTCAGCTCCTGTGCAATAACTCAGAAGGCAGATAAAACGCCTCAGTGGTCCTTAGACTTTAATTCCATACACGGAGCAACGTTGTTTGAAGTTAAGATACTGTTCCTGTCATTCTTTCCCTGGTGAATGGCAGATACCTTGCTCACCAGACAAAAACTTATTAAAAAAAAAAAACACAACTACAGTACTATAGGTTTTTTTACACAGCAAATAATATCTGGACTGGTCAGATTCAGTTCTGATAGATAGATAGATAGATAGATAGATAGATAGATAGATAGATATAGATAGATAGACAGATAGATAGATGATAGATAGATAGATAGATGATAGATAGATAGATAGATAGATAGATGATAGATATAGATAGATAGATGATAGATAGATGATAGATAGATAGATAGATAGATGATAGATAGATGATAGATAGATAGATGATTAGATAGATAGATAGATGATTAGATAGATAGATAGATAGATAGATAGATGTTAAATAGACAGACAGCCTGAAACTTACACTCACTTTATTTACACAATTGTAAACTTACAATTGTGGGGGATTAAATAACTAAATGGAGAGCTGGGAAAACCCAGTCTTCTCTACTCCCGATTTATTCACACACCCACCACACACACATACTGGGTCCCAGTGGGTTCTTCTTACCGGCTTCGGGAAGAGAGGAGGGCTCTAGCAGCATTCCAGAGCCCTCCCACCATCTTCCCTAAGCCCAGCAAGCATGGCGGTGCCTTCCTTACCAGACTCTAGGAAGGGGGCGTGAGGGCTCTGAGTGTGTCCTAGAGGCCGGTAAGAAAGGTGCCTCCTCACTTACCACAGTCTGGGAAGGTCATGGGAAAGCCCATGGAATATCATGGGTCCCTCTCATGACCTCACTAGACCCCGGTAAGCAGCCTTCTGCCTCATGGGGGTAGGGGGCGATTCCAGGGATTCCTGACTTTGCACGATTTTGCCTTTTCACGTGGGCTCCTAGAACTGAACCCTCACATAAGTGGTGGGCCCACTGCATTGAATAAGCCACAGGGTGGGACAGACGAGAAATCTAAGCAAAACAAGCATAATTGTGATAAATTGTTTGGAAGAAAAATGCTGAACGCTGAACCACTACCAACAGCAGCTTTCAGTTAAGTAAGAGAAACAATGCAACTAAACGTTTGATCCGAATATAAGAGGCTGCAAAATGATAATAAATTGCAAACCACCATAATTTAAAATATTTGCTAAGTGCTGCCCAAGAAATTAAAGCCACATGTAAGATTAAGAAAACTCATTTTTTAATGTCTGCAGATCTAACAACTGCCCAACCAAATTTGAGGAAAATATGCATATAACTCATTTTCTTCAGCGTTCTAGTTCCTTCCTCACAGAATGTTCTGTATCCTAAGTGTCACAGAGAACACAAAACAGAAAGAAAGAAAGAAAGAAAGAAAGAGCCCTTTACAAATTCATTTTCATGACAGCCTGATAATTCACTAATTATCTAGATGCTGGAGAGTGGGGATGCACCCAAAACAAGGTGAAACGGCAAGCCTTGCAGAACTACATATGTCAGCCTCCATAATATATAGAATAGAACTCAGTATGGGCAATCCAAAACAAGGTTGCAGAAAATATATACCGGTACTACAACTTACAGAAAGTCATAGCCGGTTGCTGGTATATGTGAGAATTGCGCCCCCTAGTGATCTGAGAATGTGTCAGTTCCGTGATGATAGTAGGACCAATCAGTTACTTATAGGAAAACACAACGCGACTTGCATTGTAGCAACAGAAAGGCCAATCCTTGACAGTGACCATGAATCTGAATATTAATTCATTAGGAACTGTACAAGAAAAAAATTAAACCACCACTATGGGATTTATGTGGCAGAGGCTCATTTGCCCTTCAGCTATCGGCTGCTTTAGACAAGATGCATATGTAAACAGAGCCAGATTCCAACAGGCCAGTTTTTTAGTTTGTAGCAGCAATAACAACAGAGAGTCTTATGCAGCCCTAAAGCCTAACAAAGTCATAGTGGCATAAGCTTTCATGGATCAGAGCTCACTTCATCGGGTGCACAAAGTGTTCACACAGGTATACAAATCCTAAGTACCACAGAGGAGGAGAAATGTGTTTTTAATTTTATACAGAGAGTCTAGGTCAACCAAAGCACAAGTAAATAATCTAATCAACTGAATGCAAGTTTCAACAGATTTAGTAATGACCCACTCCCGACCTGGAGTTTGCGTTACAGAGTGAATCCAGTCTGTCCTGGAAGATAGACCCCCAAAATAGTCCTGAGAGGCCACTGCTCTGCTATTTTGTCACCCCAATCTCCCTCATAGACCAAGGTTCTAACTAGGTTCTTACAGGTGGGCAGGTGCGTCTAGGAGCATTTGTGTTAATTAACCAGGATGCTGTGATCCTCAACATGGAACCATAGACTTGTAAAGTTGGAAGGGACCACGAGGGTCACCCAGACCAACCCTCTGTAATGCAGGAATCTTTTTGCCCAATGTGGGGCTCAAACTCACAACCTTGACATTTGAGATTCTTGTGCTCTATCAACTGAGCTGTCCTGAATCAAGATTTCTACAGTAACACCAGGCATGTCGACAGGGAATTCCCTGTTTGAAGTATTATTACTTTGCAATCTCCATTTTGAAAATTAGTTAGAAATACCATGTCTCACATAGTACTAAGAGCTCATCAAAGTGTTCCCTTACCCCATTGGAAGCCAGTACATCCTCAGTCTCATCATCTCTGTTGTTGGCTTGGATTTCAAAGGGATTCCCTCCATTACAGTACTGCTCAAACAGAGTTATGGTTCTTTCTATTTCTGAAGCAGGCTGCTTGCTTGGCGACACAGAAGGGGAACGGGACTGTGCCATGAACTTAAATTCCTATTAACACAAAACAGGTGATTTATAGGCTCTGCCATGCAGTTTAAATATTGATCCACATAATAAAGGAGCGGTTTCTTGACAAGCACTGCGGTGTTTGTCTTTCAGCTAACATGACTTTCCTTCTTTCATTTTTTTTTAAAGACTGCAAATGTAACCATTAATTTGATGCTTGTCTAATTCTAACATACTTGCCCAATTACTTCAGGCAAAACACCCCCTGCAGCTTGGAAATGAAAGACTTTCAAAACACATATTAAGTTCATTAGTGAAGCATTGTGATGAATTACGTTACAGCAGACTTTTTAAAAAGCAAATTATGAGAATTACAATGCCTCTGCATTTACAGTTGCTTAAAAATCAATCAATATAAATGGCTGCTAAAAGTGAATTTTAACAAATTTTCTTTTTATCATAGCATCTGGTTTTCTCACTACCTTGAATGCTGGAAATAGCATGGGATGCACAAATGTTGATTAAAGACTCTATTCGGACATCATGCAAAACCATTGTTTAGCATAACAAGAACGAGCCGCTGTTACCCTTATGTTCCCTATATTGCTCCACTGCAACTGCAAGTTTGGAAGCTTTTGCTTCCAGTTTGATCACAGCTTGTCCCATCATCCAGACTTGACAAACTATTGTTGTTGTTTAGTCGTTTAGTCGTGTCCGACTCTTCGTGACTCCATGGACCAGAGCACGCCAGGCACTCCTGTCTTCCACTGCCTCCCGCAGTTTGGTCAGACTCATGTTTGTAGCTTTGAGAACACTGTCCAACCATCTCGTCCTCTGTCGCCCCCTTCTCCTTGTGCCCTCAATCTTTCCCAACATCAGGGTCTTTTCCAGGGAGTCTTCTCTTCTCATGAGGTGGCCAAAGTATTGGAGCCTCAGCTTCACGATCTGTCCTTCCAGTGACCACTCAGGGCTGATTTCCTTAAGAATGGATGCATTTGATCTTCTTGCAGTCCATGGGACTCTCAAGAGTCTCCTCCAGACCATAATTCAAAAGCATCAATTCTTCGGCGATCAGCCTTTCTTATGGTCCAGCTCTCACTTCCATACATCACTACTGGGAAAACCATGGCTTTTCCCAGGTGAACTATGGTTCACCTTAACTGTGGTTCATCTTAAACAAGCCAAATTCAAAACACTGGCTATGAAGCTTGCTTGTTTAAAAAAGCCATAGTTAACATTACACATAGTTTAGGTTTGTATAACATGCTGAACTGTGCTAAGCTTCCATCAGAAGTGATAACTTCCAGTCCTCACAGTCACACTAGAGGAGGAATACATGCAAGGTTCACTGCAGCTTGTTCTTATCAAACTAAACAATTGCTTGGAATGATGTCCAAAGGCAGCAGAAGGGCTGAATCCAGTTAACAAAAAGACCACTCCCACATATATACCTTGCCCCCAAGTTCACACACTGCTGTTAACAGGTAGGCTCCACAACAGCTGTCATGCTTCCATTTGTGCAAGACAACGCATACAATCTGTAGTGCAAGCAAAACATCGCATTTGGATTTATTTTTATCTTTCTCATGTCGTTTTACAGCACAAGGTGCAAAAGAGCTTATTGGCAAGTGAAAAACACCTTGCACATCCAAGAACTTCCTTTAAAATTTGGTCCTTCCATTCTGAATACAAAATGCATACGGTGCTTTAAGGTATCACCGCATTGTGTTTTGTTTCCCTAGCACAACACAGTCACTGCAAATGTACAGTGAAAGTCAAGATAGCGGCAAACCCTTCAACTGTCTTGGCCAAAGTAGCCTTAACCATTTATGTTAAGCATTCGTCCCATTCCTGCTTTTTAACATGGCTAGGACTTACATGAAGCTGTAATATGCTGAAGCTTGATTTCACAGGACAAAGCTCCCACGTCTCGTTCTCCAAGAACATTCGCAGTTCTTCAAGGCGGGTTCTAAAACAAAGTTTAGTGTCAGCAAAGGCAAAGGGTGTAACAAGTCAACTATATTGAGAAATTAAGAACCTAGCTGCAGTTCCACTAAATCAAATTCTGCTATTCTTTAACGATCCTCCGTTAATGAGCTAATCACGTCTCTACTACATGGTTCTCCAAAACGGATCTCTTGCAGCCACATAGGAGCCAAATGAGAAGGAAAGGACTGAGGGGTGAGATAAACTGTTTCCTATCCATGTTTCCATGAAGCTTAAGCAACAACAACAAAGGAAACACCTACACAAGCCCTCCCTGGGTAGAGTGATGAAAAGAGTAGTAAATCCTCTGCAATAAAAATATGTACCAATTGTGTACCAATGGTCAGAACTGGGAAAATTTAGTACAGTGGTACCTTGGTTCTCAAACGTGATCCGTTCCAGAAGTCTGTTCCAAAACCAAAGCGTTCCAAAACCAAGGCAAGCTTTCCCATCGAAAGTAATGCAAAACAGATTAATCTGTACCAGACTTTTAAAAGCAACCCTTTTCTGGGTGACAGGCACGTTGTCACCCAGAAAGCATGCAAACCTAGCCAGTCTCTTACAAAACCAGATTAAAAGTCACAGTTCCCTATATTTCCTTTGTATGATGCAAAAGCACAAATGCACATTTTGTTCTGTTTCCAGAAGTTCTTTTTCCTCACATCTAAACAGTCATGCCAAGAATTCAAGAAAAATGGGGGGGGGGATTGGCAGCAATGAAATATTCTCAGACAAGATCAAAGCTTTAAAAACCAAGTCTTGAGTCTGAAAAAGAAACATTAATTGCCAGTGCTTTCCAGGCAATCAATAAAAAACACTGCTTAAATAAAGCAGCATAAGCTTTGCTAACATGTTCACCACTGTTCATATATTGCAAGGAGAAACGTGCTTTGAGTTAATTGATATCCTTCCCATTTGGCTAAAAAGGGTGGGGAAGGGAAACACAATTTTCAAAGGGTATGACATAATCACATGTCTTTTTACCAGGAACTATTGAAAGTGCCCATCAATCAACAAGTGCAATTCAACAGGTATCTAGAAGAGGCTTTGTTTTGGTGGCCAACAAGATAACAGCTCTAATGATCTTAATCACTCTGAATCCCAGGAAGTTTGTTCCTACTCTAACTCTGCGTTTTAAAACAGAGCATTATGAGCTTTTCAGCTCTTCTGCTTCTCGCTCTCTCTCTTTCCAGAAGTCAATCTGTTGGTCCAGGCAGAGCAATGCCTATGAACTCCTTGCATATATTATGCACTGGTTTACTATTTTTATGCTTTGTAAGTGGCCTTCTATTTCAAAAGCGATTTAATGTAAGAGATTTACATTGTAATAAAGGTAACCTCTGTTTTAATCCAAAATGGGACTTGCCCCTTTCTAACCACTATGCAAGGCAACATTCCCATGGTGTGCCACAAACCTAAGTCCAAGATCTGGAGAAATCAGACTTTAGCTGGTGATATGTGTACACTTGTGTTTCCAGTAATGTAGTGTAGACTTGGCAACAAGGCATGCTCTGTTTCCAAAAGGCATGTATTACTTGAGTTCCCAAATCGCAGAGGCAAATCTACCAGTTCCTTCCTTCTGAATCCCTGAGCCACTCTTACCTGAAAGGTCCTTTATGAGTAAGGTTGTCAATTGTCACCCCCAGCACTCAAACACTTATTCTCAAAAATAATGCTACCTCCCAATAAAATTGCTTAATACATTCAGTCTATGTCATAGGTTATATAAATCAATGTTCTTAATGGCATCTCTATATTACAGCTTTTTGATGGCATCACTGTATCTATAGCTCACCTGTCTACATATGTCAAGATGAACAAATCAAAGACAATGCTCTTTAAAGAGCTACCAGCTGGGTAGCTCTTATGAACTAATGCATCTACAAAAGTATCTAACGGTTCTTAATTGAAGCACACAATGAGGAGTAAGAGCCGTATCCACTTGAAGTCAAAAGCCTAAAACTCCTGAAAGCTTTAGGTGATTCAGGCTCTAATACACATACAATATTTTTACAGTCTAATGGAAATTGCTACATCTTCAAAGGGCTTTGTAGACAACATTAGCCAATCAAATCTCTACAGCACCCATTCAACATCAGTACGCAACAATCACCGTCAGTGCAAATTATTACCCAGTAGGTAAAAGCACTGAAATGGATCAAGTTTCTTCCTCAATAGCCTATGCAAAAACAATGATAAATATTTTAAAATTACCTTTTGGCAGCAATTGCCAAACCCTGTATCTTCAACAGTCACAATATTCTCCCTATATTTTCTGTTATGTGTTTGAAAATACAAGGCAGTATTCTCTGAAGCAAGCATTTAGAGACTTAAGCAGCGACATATTTAAAGTAGACCAGGGTACACAATGTGGTGCCCTCCAGATGTTGTTGGACTTCAGTTCCCATCATGGCCGACATGGGCAACAGTCAAGAGATTATGTGAGCTAGGAGTCCATGGACACCTGGAGGGCACAGTGCTAGCTCTCCCTGCAATAGACAATAGCTCAAATGGCAGACCAAATGAAGAAAGTCCCCAGTTGAGTCTCAGTCATCTCCAGTTGTAGGTGTAGGAAACCTGTGGCCCTCTGGAGTTGCTGAAGTACCATTCTCATCATTCCTGGCCACTGGCCATGGTGGCTTGGGCTGATGGGAACTGTTTCCATTCAGCAACATCTGGAGGGCCAAAGGTTCCCCATCAAAGAGCAGGTGACATGGAAGACCTCCACCTGAGACCCTGATGTGCTCCTGCAAGTTGGATTAGACAACACAGGTGCACAGGTGGTCAAACAGCCTGCCCTGGTATAAGGCATCTTCCTCCGTCCCTGTGGCAAATCTAGCCTTGCTTCTATGTAGTGAAAACAGTAGCTGGGAACCAGGCACGAGACAGGAATTTACGGGAAATGTTACTGAAAATATGTCCCCATAACACCAATGCATTGAAGTAAACTACAGTAAGCCTGCAACTTGCACACATTTAACTTGTGTGCATTCAGCTTTATGTGTGTGGCAAATAGATAGATAGATAGATAGATAGATAGATAGATAGATAGATAGATAGATAGATAGATAGATAGATGATAGATAGACAGATGGTGGAGTTCTGAGAAAAATGACTTTGGCAATCCCACCTGCCAATGAGCCCAATGCATTTTGACTATACATGATCTTGGCTTTAGGCACGATCCATGGAACGCAAGCCCCCACTTAAGTTGCAGGCTTACTGTACTATGCACCTTGTAAAATAAAGTTTTCAGAAAGAACATTGATAAAATTTAAACATTTTATACAGAGCATTCATTTTGCAAACATAAAACGTTTTGCATTTATGGTCAGCACTTAACGACTTGAAAACTTGAAAGGGACATCGACCTCCTACAACAACTAGCCTACTATTGTAGCTCTTACCTGTGATAGTTCTTGAAATAATTCACACTTTGTTTTCTAATGGATTCTTGCAAAACCTCCGACTTGCTGCCACAAAACTCTTCACCAACCTGCATCAGCCTATGGAAGAGGATTTTCTGATTATACATTCAAGTCAAGAATTAGAGTATTCATTTCAACTACAGGTAGGCACTGTTGAAAGAGAAGCCCACATAGAACGGCCTGCATCCTCTTTTCATACTGTGGGCCATCTGTCTGTATAAAGCAACCCTCATTCCTTCAACTCTGGAAGCTATATTTCAGTCAAGGAACTTCTACAATTTTCTCAGCAGATTAAACATAAAATGGTGAAGGATCCTCGAAGAAAGACATGCAGTTAAGACTCCTACTGGTCTGGTGCAGATGAGACCTAAGGCTAGTAGACACTAAGATTGCTCCAATGCACATTAAGGCATTTGATTCTCCTAAAACATAGTGGTCTGATTTAAATCAGAATATTTGGAACATAAAGCAGATGCAGTTTCCTCAAAGTAAAGCAATGTACGTAAGTTTATTTCGGCATTTCCTAACCTAGCGCCCGCCAGAGGCTTTTGGACTAGAACTGCAATCAGCCCCAGCAAGGCTGGTTTAAAGTACACCAAGAATGACTCAGATTTTGGAAAAACCAGTCCAGTTAATCAGTGAAGCAATTTTAAATAGCACAGAAGTGAAGAAACAGCCATGCTATGACTTATGCTGCCTGCCGCAACCAAACAATATTTGAAAAAAAAACTCTTAGAATTCAACGCGCACACAAAAAGCTTTGTTGTGTTAACTTCCACTTTGTCTCTTTATCAGAACAAATGGCCCCTGAAAATACCTGCTGACAATATCCAGGACGAAGATGAAGTCATCGTATTTGAAGTTAGACATGTCTGTGCCAAGCAAATAGGTCTTCACTTTCAGCTGGACATCCTGCAGAAAATCAAACGTATTGAAATTGGGTATGCTTAGCCTACGGAAGATATGGTTAAGAGGCAATATGATAGGCGTCTTCAAGGATCTGAAGAGTTGTCACATAGATGACAGAGCAAATTTGTTTCTGCTGCTCCAGAGCAATAGGCCCAAATCCCACAGGTTCAAAAGATAAGAAAAGGGATTTAGACGAAATGTTTGGCGCAACTTCCTGACACTATGCACTGTTCAACAGTGGAGCAGATTGCCCTAGAAGGTTGGACACCCACCTACTGGGGGATATAGCATAGTTAAGATGATCCTTGAGCTATCTTCCAACTCTATGATAAAGCAGATGCCATCATAGTATTTGATGTATTTGCTACCTATGATAAATGGCTGAAACCTTTCGAGGGATACTCAGTCCTGGATCTAAACAAATCAAATAACCAACACTTGAGGAGTGGGTTAAAGTTATTTATTCAAAGTTACTTCTAATTTGTGAAGAACTTGCAGCCTCCATATAGTCTACATCTAACCGGTTTTGCAATCACATTGCTACCACTACATTTTATAAGGCAAAACATCCATGAACAAGAGGGGAGGTGTCATGAGGCTTGGGGAATCCTCAGGTTTGGAGAGGTACTGTTTGGGGTGGGGGAAACAGAAAACCAGAGGGAGGCAGTGGGAAATGGAGTGCAACAAGAGAAACATTCTTTCCCAAAGAATGTTCTGTCTACTGCCCATTCAAGAGAAATTGACGTTTTCATCATTTCATGCTCTTTAAACTCAATTTTAAGAACATGAAACTATGCGACAGAAACGAACCTATTTTTCTCTGATGCTATGAACAACCAGAGATAATGGGGGTTTTTTACATTCTTTCCTAAAAGTCCAATTAATGTTTTTCAAAAACGAGCATTTGCTGGGGGGTAGAAAGCATTTTGCCAATTTAAAACGAACCTGCCATATTCGTGAAAGTCCATGTTCCAATTTCTTTTTCACGTAGCTGCGGTCAAAATTGGTCTCCTCAGCACCCATGACGTTGCTTCCATCTGGAAAATAATGTATGTGTTTTACATGTAATCTGACAAGGGAGGGGGATTCACTCTGTGTGTGCACGCACGTGTGCACTTTATTTTAATGTGAGACAAAATTTCACATCCTTTAGCCTCACTTCACACTCTACAACAATAATAGCAAGCCCACACCCCAAATCCCATAATGTGGCAGAGACAATGCCGCCACACTGACCTAAAATGAAGGGCATTAACCAAGACTGGCTGATCTGGGCAGTGAGGCGATGATAGCAGGCCCACTCAACATGCACCACACACACAGTGTCCCCCCCCCCCAAACACATGGTTCCTCCATAGCAAAGGCATAAAAAGTAGTAATAATAACAATAATGCTCTAATAAGGTGTGCCGCACAATCCTTTTGTGTGCTTACTCAGAAGCAGGGCTTTTTTTCAACCGGAACTCACTGGAACTCAGTTCCGGCACCTTTCAGGTGGGCACCATTGCCATTCTAAGAGAACAACACTTGAGGAGTGGGTTAATGTTATTTATTCAAAGTTACTTCTAATTTGTGAAGAACTTGCAGCCTCCATATAGTCTACATCTAACCGGTTTTGCAATCACATTGCTACCACTACATTTTTTAAGGCGAAACATCCATGAACAAGAGGGGAGGTGTCATGAGGCTTGGGGAATCCTAAGGTTTGGAGAGGTACTGTTTGGGGTGGGGGGAAACAGAAAACCATGTTCATGGTGAGTTCCGGCACCTCTTTTTCTAGAAAAATAGCACTGTTCAGAAGTAATTCTCATTGTCTCCAGGAGGATTACTCCCTAAAAAGTTTGTTTAGGATTTCAGTTTCTAAGCTTTCACACAGGCTAGATATTCACTATTATAATGCTTCATTAGGTAACAACTGCAAAATCCCTCAAGCTCCTGAAATAGTAGGTTGAGAGAGATCAACTGTACCTAACAATTTTCTTTTACAAAAAAAAATCATAAATAGCATTTTATACAGGGTCCCTATTCCAAATCTTACTGTTTCCCTGATGGATATTGGAAGAGCTTTTGTCCTATTGTTCATACAGCCTCGCCTACATTTTTCACATTCTGAAACTAACTCAAAATACATATTTTATTCAGATAATACATTCAGATAGCATAACCAGTTCCTACCAGAAGACGAAGGAGGTTCACCGTGATCGTATTTTTCATGCCACTCCATGGTTCGATAGTAACTGAGCATGACCTCCCACAGGGCTTTGCAGAGGTCAGCAAGGCAAGGAATGTAACTGTCTGACGTGATGTGCTAAGGAACATACAAGCAAGATCTGTGATGTTTTTCTTCATTCTAAGTTTTATCAAATGAAGAATTTGTATGCAGAAGGAATATGACAAATACACACGTACAACATCTGTACAATATGGCATATATGCTGTACTGTTTTTAAATGCTGTACTGTTTTTAAATACTGTACTGTTTTTAACATTTGATTGGGAGCCGCCCAGAGTGGCTGGGGAGACTCAGCCAGATGGGCAGGGTATAAATAATAAATTATTATTATTATCATATTATTATATGTAGATGTCACACACAATGAAAAGAAAAATACAGAATGAGGGAAACCACCCCATCTCCTAGATTTTTTTAAACACACACAAACACACACACACTTTCCCCCTTTCAAGCTGTGGAATGCCACATAGACTGCAAATAAAACAAAAAACTGTTGCTTTCAGTAACAAATGAAATGGGCAAGTGCACATGCCAATAATTTAGTTTAAAGTATTAGTTAATTTTGTATTGGTTAAGAGGCAGAAGAGCCTAAACGCATTCAAGAACACTTCCAAGAGATTGTACATAACAATTAACAGGGCTTTAAATACACCATTGATCTAAAAACGCCATGGTTTTTGGCACTCAAAAACTTGAAGTGTTCTTCCAGTCCTGCCAATAAAGCTAAATAAATTAAGGAGGCGCAACATTTTAAACACTTCAGTGAAAGAAAGAATTATTCTGAAATGTCCAAAATAAGCTAGGATGCTGATTTGGTATATAAACCATTCTTTTCACGGAAAGGCTGCTAGGAGTGAATTCACACCACAATATTCTTCTCACACACTGTTTTTAATGGATGAGATGCATTCATGCAGCAGAGCTACCCAAGTCTAGAGGAAAAAAGTATTTGATAAAATCTCCCCACCCACTGCCCCCAGGGGGTCCCTCCCCCACCCATCCATTAGGCTTTCTTAAAAGCTTAAAAGCTCCCATTGACTTTATTTCCCAACTAATTGCTGTGCAGAAGGGCCATTTCCAGGGTGGGTCAGTGCACAGGAAAGGAAGGGTTAACACTTCCCTTCCAGCCATGATCCCCACCAAATCCCCCATGACAATGAAGCATTTAAAACGCTCCCATTGGCTACTAATCCCAATAACTATATTCTACCTTCATGGTGAGAAACATTATGCTTCTGAATTTCAGAATTGCTAGAAATTCCTTGCCATTTTTTTCCCTTCGAACGTGGCCTATACATGCAAACACAAAATGTCCCAAGCCTTTATACGACTACGTACCATGCACAGGTCCTTGTACTGAAGCTTCTGAAACTTGGTGTCTGTGTTTCCCGCACACAGCTCTACGTAACCGAGAACAACTTGGAATACAGTGTTGTGGATGGCTTGAGTAAAGTGCATGTGCAGTTGGTCCATGGCTGTCTGAAGAGAAAGGATGGGGAGAGTCATTAATGCATAATGGAAAGCCAGTTCCATGTTCCTGTTCCTTAAGTCACAGACTGTCATTCTAGGCCAGTGTTTCCCAACCGGTGTTCCGCGGCACACCAGTGTGCCGTGAGACCTTGCCTGGTGTGCCGTGGGAGGGAGGCGGGAGAGGCGGGGCGGCGGCGGCATCTCCTGCTGGATGCAAATCCAAACATTGCGGGCGGCAGCCTGCAGCGCGGAGCGCGGGGCGCCCTTTGGAGGACGCCCCGTGCTTCGCGCAGCTGTCCGCAAGCCTTGGGCGCCTGGGGGAACTCCCCCCCCCGGCGCGCAAGGCTTGCGGGCGGCAGCCTGCAGCGCGGAGCGCGGGGCGCCCTTTGGAGGACGCCTCGTGCTTCGCGCAGCTGTCCGCAAGCCTTGGGCGCCTGGGGGAACTCCCCCCCGGCGCGCAAGGCTTGCGGGCGGCAGCCTGCAGCGCGGAGCGCGGGGCGCCCTTTGGAGGACGCCCCGTGCTTCGCGCAGCTGTCCGCAAGCCTTGGGCGCCTGGGGGAACTCCCCCCCCGGCGCGCAAGGCTTGCGGGCGGCAGCCTGCAGCGCGGAGCGCGGGGCGCCCTTTGGAGGACGCCCCGTGCTTCGCGCAGCTGTCCGCAAGCCTTGGGCGCCTGGGGGAACTCCCCCCCCGCGCGCGCGCAAGGCTTGCGGGCGGCAGCCTGCAGCGCGGAGCGCGGGGCGCCCTTTGGAGGACGCCCCGTGCTTCGCGCAGCTGTCCGCAAGCCTTGGGCGCCTGGGGGAACTCCCCCCCCCCGGCGCGCAAGGCTTGCGGCGGCAGCCTGCAGCACGGAGCGCGGGGCGCCCTTTGGAGGACGCCCCGTGCTTCGCGCAGCTGTCCGCAAGCCTTGCGCGCCCAGGGGAACTCCCCCCCGCGTGCACGGCTTGCGGGCGGCAGCCAGCAGCGCGGAGCACGGGGCGCCCTCCGTAGGAGGCTGCGGAGGGTGGCGCGGAGCTGCCCGCGCTCCAGGGCTTCTTGCAGCTCCGCGCCACCCCCGGATCCCGGTGCGAAGCCGCGCGGGGCTGCGGAGGGTGGCACGGAGCTGCCTGCGCTCCAGGGCTTCTTGCAGCTCCGCGCCACCCCCCGGATCCCGGCGCGAAGCCACGCGGGGCTGCGGAGGGTGGTGCGGAGCTGCCTGCGCTCCAGGGCTTCTTGCAGCTCCGCGCCACCCCCCGGATCCTGGCGCGAAGCCGCGCGGGGCTCCGGAGGGTGGCGCGGAGCTACCTGGGCTCCAGGGCTTCCTGCAGCTCTGCACCACCCTCTGGATCCTGGCGCGAAGCCGCGCGGGGCTCCGGAGGGTGGTGCGAAGCTGCCTGCGCTCCAGGGCTTCTTGCAGCTCCGCGCCACCCCCCGGATCCCAGCGCGAAGCCGCACGGGGCTCTGGAGGGTAGCGCAGAGCTGCCTGCATCCCGAAGCCTGGTGCGCGCTGAAGAGCGCCCCCGGGCTTCACGCACCTCTCCGCAAGCCTGGGGAGACCAGTGTGGCTCCCTAGGCTTGCGGATATCAGGCTGTTCTGGGGGCTGGGGTCGGGGGAAGCTTGGGCTTCCCCCGCGCCTGCCCCGTGCCTGGGGAGGGGAAATTTTTTTTCCCTTTATTCTCCCCCCAAAAAATTAGGTGCGTCTTATGGGGCGGTGCGTCCTATGGGGCGAAAAATATGGTAGTCAATATAGGCACAGAGTTAAATTTTTTAACATTTTCTAATGGTGGTGTGCCTCGAGATTTTTTTCATGAAACAAGTGTGCCTTTGCCCAAAAAAGGTTGGGAAACACTGTTCTAGGCAACAGCCTTCAGACACTCAAGTAGCTTCCGTGGCACTTAGTGGCTTTTCAGCTTCAGATGATAAGGCAGCAATGACCATAAAGTGGTACCTCGGGTTAAGTACTTAATTCGTTCTGGAGGTCCGTTCATAACCTGAAACTGTTCTTAACCTGAAGCACCACTTTAGCTAATGGGGCCTCCTGCTGCCGCCACGCTGCTGGAGCAAGATTTCTGTTCTCATCCTGAAGCAAAGTTCTTAACCCGAGGTAATATTTCTGGGTTAGTGGAGTCTGTAACCTGAAGCGTATGTAACCTGAAGCATATGTAACCCGAGGTACCACTGTACTTGGTTGGAGATAACTTAGACATTTGCCCGTACTCTAGTAACTTTTAGGCTATTGCATTGTATTGTATGTAGGATTGCCTTTAAAAATGGCTCAGAAACTGTGGTTGGTTCGAAACAGAGCCAAAAGACTATTAACCGGGACTGAGCAACGCTTTACCAGCTGCACTGGCCCCCAGTAATCTCCCAAGCCCCATTTAAACTGCTGGCTTTAAATGGTTTGGGACCTGATTAAAAGAAAGATCACCTTCCCCCCGCCACGTCTACCTAATTCTTATCAACAGAGGTCCTGGCATGGGTGTCTCCCACCAAGCAAAGTGAGGCTACAAAGGAGAGGAGGAGGGCCTTTCTAGTGGTGGCACCACCAGACTATGAAACAGCCTCTGCAGAGAGGCTGGCCTGCCACCTTCTTGCCACCTTTTTGGCATCAGGTGTATATCTTTTTTATTCTGCCAGGATTTTAATAGTGTTTTGGGTTATTGTGACTTAGCGTGGTTTTAACCGGGGCTATAACCTGTTTCTGCTTTGCGGTCTGTTTGTTTCGCAGGGCAAAATTTTAGTTGTGAGTTTGTTTTTGCTTACTGCAAATTTTAATTGCTCTTATTATGGATCGGCGGAGATATAAATCTTCTCTTCCTCTTACCCCACACAGCCTCCGCTGAAGCAAAATGTAAAGAGGAGGAGTAACACTGGACCTGGAAGTGGCAGAGCAGGTGTAATTTTGAAAAGTACCCTTTAGTGGGCTGTTTGTATGTGTGAGGCAGGGGCCTATAAGCCTTACAAAAGAAAACACCCAAGGCTTAATAACGCAGCTGGAAATCAGATGAGCCGCAGATAAGGAAATGAATGGACTATAAAAGATTATTGCAAATGTGAACTAGAGAACAGTAAATCCTCTTGTGGTCTAGTCAAACACACAATTATCATATTTCCCCCCAAAACAGGGTTCAACAAATGGAGAGGTCCTTTAAGGAAAGCAGACCCAAGAAACGGACTGAAGGAAAAGAATAAATGTGCAGTCAGTGATTGGCAAGCCACTGCCACTGAGCAAAAGCCAGCCAGGCTTGGTTGCCAACACAAGACACCCTGAGCATTCTTGCCCAGAGATATTCTGTCTGCCAGCCAGAGAACTAGTGAGCATGTGCCATAAACATTTATATTTCCAACTGCGGAGCACTGGATGCAAGGCTAGCTATAGTTAACAGCAGATATGTGCATGTGCAAGGCATCCATCTTGGGTGGTTCAACTGCTGAACAACCAGGGATGAGCCCACTAAGGGAGTAATCATTTACTGAGAACTGATTTTCTTTCAGTCGTGCTTTTATTTTATTTACTCCCAGGGTCTGTATATATTCCATCACTATCGACAGAAGCAACCTGCCTATAATCTGTTAGATAGTACTGAGTTTGCAGAGAATGTATTTGAAAATTTTGGTTGTTTTTACATTATAAGCACTTTTCGCCACCAAAGCAGATAGCTCACGTGATTAAGACAAGCTAGCCTGATTCATAAGCAAGATGTAACAACAAACAGAAAATGCTCACCTGCGTTTTCCCAAGTAGTCTGTAAGCCTGCTGCACCTTGGTATAGTGGCTGATGTCAAAGTTTTTGCAGATTTTGGAAAGCGCGACATCTAACTGCTCCTAAAATGTCAAGTCATGAATATTCAGTAAAATGAAATAGCTATACAGATTGAAAATATATGATTTATATGGAGACATTCATGTATCATAAGAAAGCAAAATGCAATATAATCATCTGAACAGATGAAGCGCCCCTTAGCCAAGGTATTCACTCCGTCAAAAAAATCAATAGACTGCATTCTCACCTCAATTTGCTCCAAAGTGTCCTGTAGTTTTGAATTCAATTCACTGCGAAACAATAAAGTCCAACATTAGATCATTTAGAACTAAGCCAACAAGTTATACAAGTGTTTCGGGCTGTGATGAATGTTGTGGTACATGAGTGCAATTGGGCAGATCTTTTATAGAATAGAGTTTCTGCCAGCAATGCTGTAAGATGACTGAAGAGACACACACCCCGCCACCCGCCAAAACCACATCTCTAAAAGAGATCTATTATCCTCAAATCATCTCTGTAGGCCATTAGACACAGAAGTGTCCATGCTCAAGTGGGCAGATTATTTATTTTTATATAAGATTTCTTACCCACCCTTCACCTTATGGTCCCAGAACTACTTACAATAATAAAACATGCAGCTTTAGAAACAAATAAAGCTATTGCAATTATAAAACACATGAAACTGTTCCAAATGGAAAAGACTTCCGTGTGCCCCATGCAACCCCCCAAGAATCCTCTCTGAATCTTAGAATCTTTCATTCTGTGACAAAATTTTGACATTTGCTCAGACCCTGAACAGAAATCTACCAAAAGCTGATGGATTTTCCAGATTGCAATTTTCCTCACATCTAGTCTTGCATTGCATGACAAAACTAAATCAGGGAAAGGAAATAATAAAAGTATTATTATAAAACCCAGTTATTTATCTCCACCCCCTTTAAGCTTCATGATCACAATTATGCACTAAGGAAGGCATTGCAAAATAGCTTAATTTTGCAACACAGCTAAGCCACATGCACTGAAATGATGCCTCGCGGTTAATGAGCACTGTGTATTTTATAGGTTTAAACAGCAAAAGCAATCAAATATGGATGTCTTTTTAAAGTGTGCATGCTGAATTTTATGCTGAATTGTAATACTTGCGCTCTGTACATTGCACTTTCCGGTTAATTTGTTACATGCATGCATGCATGAATTAATGAGTAAAGGTACGACGAGAAATCCTGGGTGGTCATTCAATATTTTGTAAGACAACCCACCCCCAAAGAAACGTCTTAAAGCAGCACTATAATGTGCTACATATATCAATACTTCATAGTAAAAAGAACCTTGCTGGATGAGGCCAAAGACAGCAGCCAGCCAACCAGGCACCTATGACACCAGAGTTCAACAGCACTCTCTTCACTCGTGATTGCCAGCAACTGATATTCAGAGGTATGATGCCTCCAACACTGGAGGGTAGAAAAGAGCCTTATCCTCGAGATCAGAGCTTTCAAAACATTTCATGTTGGTGCCACACTTTTTAGACTTGCATCATTTCGTGATACAGTAACTCAGTTTTACTAGCAAACCAGAGGTTAAACTAACCTCTTTCCAGCCCAAGGAGGAGCGTGGAGAGCATTCGCATGACACATCTACACGCTGCAGCCGACACACTTAACGTGTCGCGGCACACAGTTTGGAAAGCTCTGCTATAGGCGGTGAACCCGCAGCCTATGAGCACCATGTTGGGTGCCAGCCGCTGGCAAAATCAGACACCTCTTTTCCCTCTGATGAGACTTTGCTGCTAGATGGCCTTGGCTCTTCCATAGTCTTATATGCTTTACCTTACAAAGGCACTTCTTCTACCTATGGAGCAGCACTACTGTTAGAGGAGGTCTTAGTTCTCATGCTCCAGGGAGGAATGGTACTGAAATGCAAAAACCTTCAAGCAATGTTGGCACACCAGAGGGAGAAGAGGCGCCTTTGAACGGTAAGCAGGTGGAGCTCTGGGGAGGTTTTCTTCCCTACTGTGGCCCTGTAACTTCCTGAAAGGCTGGGTTGGGTCTTGAATTCATACAGGAGACAAACCATGACAGAAATAGTCTATGAGTGTTGCTGCATGCTACCACTGACTATGGCTGGCACACACCCCACCCCCACTAAGGGAAAGGCACCCTGCGCCATCACAGAGGACTGCAGGACACATATCTGAGTATTTGCTGGGTGCAGGCATAGTGAAAGTCACGGGAAACTAATAATAATAATAATAATAATAATAATAATAATAATAATAATAATAATTTATACCCCACCCATCTGGCTGGGTTTCCCCAGCCACTCTGGGCAGCTTTCAACAGAATATTAAAATATAATAGTCTATTAAACATTAAAAGCTTCCCTAAACAGGGCTGCCTTCAGATGTCTTCTAAAAACATTCATTTCCTCTGCTTCTGGCATAGTACAACCAGAACGCAGTATCCATTTAGCCAGCTTAGGGTCCTCTTGAATGCAAAACATATACAATCCAAAAAAATTTTTTTTAAAAATACTTGATCCATCTCTGATAGTGGGGGAAATATAGTCAGGAGGAGGAACAAAAGAAAAGAAAGCTTATTTTACAAGCCTCCTTTTGTTCTTGCCACTCTTTTCCACACCGGGCTTTTCACATATAGACCCTGTGAGAATAATTCATTCCATCTAGAGCTGATTATTTTCCAGACAAATTGTTTCTTTGGTGCATCGTGTATTATAGCGGAGGGGAGTGATATACCTCAAATTCGCTTTGTTCATATCAAGAGCAAATTGACAGAATTCCACAGCGCACAGCTCAAATCCATAACGCGCGACAAAATGAAATATAACAATCCCTGGGCATAACAATTTGATCTTTCAAATACGCAATTAACTGTGCCAACATGTTAATTCGTGGCATTCATTTTATTCAGCCAATTAATTAAGGCATATTAAGAGGGCCCTGTTTGTATCCTTGCCTGCCTTAATCTGGCATGAAACAAAAGGGAGCAATATCGTGCCAGCATGGAAAAAGCAGCAAAAAGTACAATCAAGAATATTAAAGAAACTCCAATTATGGATATATCTAATTTCAGTATTTACTTAAAGAATAAATAAATCACAATACACTTCGAGAGACATGTCTGAGACAACATATTTATAATAATATTGTTTAACTTAACTGATTTCATTTTTTAAATTATTCTTATATTCTGCTTTTCTCATTTTTGCAATAGAAAACCTATTGAAAAATGCGGCCGGCAGAGCAGGATTGGGCCGGGCAGAGGCATCCATCTGCTACTACCTGCAAAGTAACAGCAGCATCACTCTGCTAGTGGGGAGCTCCCCCTTCTCCTGCCTACTGGATGGCCGAAAGTGCTGCCTACATGATACCCTCCCAGCAGAAAGCTCCCAAACAGGGCTTTCCAGGTGTGGGACAGAGGTGGCCCAAGATTCATTGGATTCTGTGATGGCATCAAGCCCAATTCAGGCCTGATCACAGCACTGTGATTTGCTTCCTTCACCCCACCTGCGTGGAAGCACTGTAGATCTGTAAAGCTCCAGTAGACAGGGAGGGAGAAGTTTAGATTGTTCCATAAGAAATAGAAAATATAGATGGATGCGAGAAGGCCAGAGCTTAAGGGCCTTTGTTCCCCCTTTCCATCAGCAACCAGATGCTGCAAAAGGAGTCCTACAGCCTGATTGGCAGTTGGGCCAGACAAGCAACTGGAAGGGACAGGATCCTGGCCTCTCTTCTCCACTTAATTAGCTAAACTGGGGCTTTTCTCAGTGGACTGGGCTTGCACTTTTGACTCTGCCAATATTTTTCACTTCTCCCGCTAACCTGAAGTACAATGAAATGAAACTGAACACCTGTTCAATAATTAAGCAGCATCAATATACAAATGTCACTAGCAAACCCATCAATGATGTATAGTTTTACGCATTTGAATGCCTGCAAGATTAATAAGGCTGCTGTGCATTTATTTTAATTACACAGAGTCTAGCCTAAATACACAGACACATGTACAAAGAGGTACAAAAGATTAATGGTGTGCCAAGGCAATCGGCTAGGAATTTTTATTTGTAAATATGCAAGAAGCATTTGGCACACCTGCACAATTGTTGCCCAGACTATGCCCACCTCTTGCCACTTGGATGAACATTTGCCGCTCTCTCATCCCAACGCTGAGCCCTAACATTTTGGGGTGGCTCCAAAAACATTCTATCCAGCACCAGCAATCAGAACACCTGGGAAGCTGGGAAACAGCACTTCTAAGCACTGCCACCTCCCAGCACTTCCCTGCTCCTTGATCTTAGGAATCATCATGCAAAATGTAATTATGGTAGATTAAGAAGTGGCCATATGCACGGCCAACAGATGAGCAACTTTCTACTGGACAGCCTGGGGATTCTTAGAAACCAAAAAGTACTAAGATTTGGAAATAGAGTAATTTGTTAGATTCTAGGGCTGGTACACACGCATGCACAGACACACGTACACACCCCAATCTGTGGGCCCAGATCAGTACTAAATCTGGATCCTGCACTGAATCCATTGCTTTAAATGTGTTTTAAATTTACGGTGTGTATGCAGCCTCCGATGCAAATCCAACTGCATCTAGGTTATATGTGTTTGGGATTGCAGCTGTACACAGATACCAAAATGAACACACTATACAGCACCACTTTTTAGCCTTCAGTGGCAATCAGTTCATGTTAAAAAGAAAGTGCTACCTTGCGAAACCGTTCAGCCATGTGGCGCTTTCATTATCAGCAGCCGCTATGTGCAGCAAGTCAGGAAATTATACAAAAAGTTAATTGCACTTTACAGGCCTTTTAAAAACAAACACACACACACACCCCACACACACACCAAAACTTGTTTTTCCAAGTTGGGAAATAAATCTCCAGTGCTGGGGCCCAGCAAATTATAATTTGCGAGTCGTTCCCTAAAGAATCACACACTTGTTGTCCCTGTGTGCCTGAAGGACAAAAATCAACTCTGGAAGACGCCTGTTGCGTTACCTGATGCAACTGTAGTGTTTGAAAGTGCTAGCTGCTTTCTGGCATTCCAGGCAGAGCTGGATAGCCCCAGGGTAATCCTCCTCCTGTGGGAAATAAGACGTAGAATAAGAACTCAACAACACTGACACTGAGTTTATTAAAGAAAAAAACCTGTGAGCATTGCATTTCCTGAAAGAAGGCTTTCTGATCTGTGCGTGATGCTTCCAGTCTTTGCAACCCAACAGTGTAGATCAGTTGGTAGAGCATGAGGCTCTTAATCTCGAAGGTTATGGGTTCGAGCCCCATGTCGGGCAAAAAGGTCCCTGCACTGCAGGGGGTTGGACCAGATGACTCTCAAGGTTCCTTCCCGTTATGATTCTGTAATTCTATCCTGCACTGCAGAGGGCTGGACTAGATAACCCTCAGGGTCCCTTCCAACTCTACAATTCTATGGCTTGCTGTGGGTGATTAAAAGTAAAGGCAAAGGGACCCCTGACCATTAGGTCCAGTCGTGGCCGACTCTGGGTTTGCGGCACTCATCTCGCTTTATTGGCCGAGGGAGCCGGCGTACAGCTTCCGGGTCATGTGGCCAGCAGGACTAAGCCTCTTCTGGCGAACCAGAGCAGCGCACAGAAACGCCGTTTACCTTCCTGCTGGAGGGGTACCTATTGATCTATTTGCACTTTGACGTGCTTTCGAACTGCTAGGTTGGCAGGAGCAGGGACCGAGCATTGGGAGCTCACCCCGTCATGGGGATTCAAACTGCCGACCTTCTGATCAGCAAGTCCTAGGCTCTGTGGTTTAACCCACAGCACCACCCACGTTGATTACACAAAGCACAAACTAACTACTGGCCTTCAGACACAGGAGGGGTAAGTAGTCCACATCCCGGGAGGCTGCTGAACATTTATAAAATAGTAACAATTTCACCTCTCTCCCACGTAAGCCTAATCTGTGATTGGTTCTTCTTAAAAGTAGGATTCACAATTAAGACAGCCGATGCAACACAGGAGCATACAAGAGCAGTCAAGGCCTGGCCTCGGTCTTCAAAGGGAGTTATAGCCCACAGATGGGCCAAGATGACAGCCCCTAATACGGTTAGAATGCATGTGAACAAAAAGACATTCCTTTCAATTACAATTAAATTATAGTCCGGTTATATCCTTACCTCTAACATTTCACTTAAGCGGACATCCGTTTGTTGCTGGAAATTAAAAGGAGGGAGAGGTCACTGCACAGCACACTAGAGAAATGATTTCTATAGTTGAAAACATGAAACTCTGCTCATACCAGGGTTTTTATCGTTCTCAGAGATTTTAGCAGCCCCATCAGCAACTGGCGTTTTCGTTGATTGGCAAGAAGGCCCAAGCTGGCTTGAGTAAAACCCTCTTTTGCTGAGCTCAGATGTCTGCAGAAGTCAAATAAGATTTTTTCAAAATGAAAGGGTAACTCTCATGGAATACAATAAGGCTTGTGTATAAAAATGGGCAATGCTGTGCTAAGTCTGTGTTCTAAAGCAAAGACCAGTACTAATAAACAATGCATAGAAAAGAATTATAAAACACACACATCTGCAAGCACACATCTGCCCCAAAGGCAAAGGAATCTCTTCACACACCCTTCAAACAATATTTGCAAAATATTGCTTTATTTATACTAATTCCACTCACTGCCCATCCGAGGAGGCTTGCAACATATCATCAAATCACTCCCCACACAAAGAATATCCAGTAAAAATCCTCAGCCAGCCAATTAACACACTTTTCATACCAATGACAAACCACAATACAGACCGTAAAACCTCAATAATGAATCAGCTACTCAGAAAAGGTATACCTTTAGGGCAGGCTTCCTCAAACTTGGCCCTCCAGATGTTTTGAGGCTACAATTCCCATCATCCCTGACCACTGGTCCTGCTAGCTAGGGATCATGGGAGTTGTAGGCCAAAAACGTCTGGAGGGCCGAGTTTGAGGAAGCCTGCTTTAGGGATTTCTGAAAGGCCTGAAGCATGGGAAACCAGAACAGATCAGTTGGCTGAAAGACCCAAAGCAACGGGGCTTCCACGAAAGGTCCCGTGCCTTGTGGCCACTAATCTCACTGATCTAGGAGGTGGACATATGAGGAGAGCATCTGTTTTTGATCACAATGTGTGGGCAACTAGAATAGTGCTAATGGTCAACAAAATAGCTTGAGCCCAAAGCAGCACCTTAAATTGGGCTCTGATAGGCATCTGCAGCTGGTCCAGTAAGTGTGTGACAGAATCTGAATGTCTCCATCCCATCAGGGTGATGGCAACCATGTTCTGAACCAGCTTTAAACACTATTTTCAAAAAATCTCCAAAGGCAGTCCAATGGCCACAGGTGGAGGAAACGTCACCTAACACTGTCCTTTGAGAATAACTATTTATGTAGGAAGAGTCGCCATAAAACAGTGCCCCCCTAAACCCACCCCAGAAGCATACAATGGTATCAAAAACTACTGAGATGTCCAGGAGAACACTAACATTCCCTCCCATGCATTCTCTGGTATATCATCCATCAGGGTAACAAAGGCTGTTTCCGTTCAGTACCTAGGTCTGAACCCAGATTGGAGTGGATCCAAACAGAGGCAAACTTTCGATTCAGTTATCACACCAAAACAGGGTTAAGGACGATTAACTTTGATCTGGCACAATGTCTAAAGTCAGCCTTGTAAGTAAGCACACAGAAGTTACTAGCCTGCAAAAATGTTTACTAGCTTGTAGCTAATAAATGTAGCCAATAAAGATATTTGCAAGAGGTGAAGTTTTAAATTGCCTATTTTTGTCTAAACCTGAAATATATAGCTAAAGGAAAGTAGCAGCAAAAGTAAATGCAGCTAGAAAAACTACTTTAAAATGATACTTTTTTCATTTTGTAAAGCAAAACAAGCATCAGTAAAAGGGTGCACTATACCGTCTTCCATTTGTGCAAATAACAGCAGCTAATTGGAGGCTAGTCTGTAAGGATGTAACTCGTTCAAGCTCCTGCAGAAATACAAAAGCAGCAATTTATTTCTCCAAGGATACAAAGCAATTGGCTTAAAAGGAGATGCCCTCTTACAAAATGTACCGTTAATTTACATTCAGTCCATTCTTTTTTTTAAAAAAAAGTTAAAATAAAAATTGAACATGATAGTAAGTAAAGAGCTGCGTATTGGTATGTCTTGGTTGAGGTCCATGTAGGCACCAAGATGACTCACAGTACAATTCTGCACACACATAAAGCATTTGGCTCACATTGAAGCTTTGAAAGATTATGACCTCCATGGAGTTAAGCTCTACAATTTATAGACTTGTCATTTTGAAAATAAAATCACATTTCAAACTACAGAGTTTGGGATCCATTTTTTGTCATACTAGAAATCTCTAAATGACAGAATTCAGCATTTGCTTTTTCAGAAACCATAAAAAATATATCAAGTTCATGAGACAGGAAAATAAGAAAATAGGGCTGCTGGATCAGGCCAATAGCCCAGCACAGGGCAGTATCCTGGTCTCACAGTGGCAGCCTACAGGAAGACCACAGCCAGGTCCTGAGTGCAGCAGCACTCTCCTCTCTTACTTAAAAAAATATAAACAAGCACACAGTGGATTTCATTAATTTACCTTGACATATGAAGGTTGTTTTTCAAGTATCAAGTCTGCAACTTTTTTAGATACCTTAAAGAAAACATTCAAGTTAGGAAGCAGCAGATATAAACAGGGTACTATTTTAAAAGAACAGGTTGACAGGAAGCACTTAGAACCTCTTCAAAAAATTTCAGTAAGTCCTCCACAACATTAGATTATATCTACATTAAAATATTTGCATGTAAAAAATGATAAACACTCCAAAAATGATGGCCATATATGAAGCAAATACATGAGACCTTACAGGCTCTCGTTGGAAACCAGTAGCAGAATCTAAATTAACCTCCCACCCCATTTCAAATTGAAAGATACTCTTGAATAAAAATTGAGAGACATACAACAATGAAGCTTAATATAGTCATTTTACCTTGCCATTAATATATAATCATATATGATTCATCTATAAAAGAGATTTAAATAAATCCACATTTGTGGCAGAGATGCCATCCTAAAAGCAATTTACGGAATGCAGCAATGACTATTTGTGTACCAATGTTAATTTATTACTTTTCTTTTAATGCGCTGTATGTTTTTTCCTCTTTCCATTACTTCTGAGTTCCAGTAAATGCAATGCTAGTGCACCTGGTACTCAGCCAGCAAGGAACAAAATAAGCATAGTTAAGCCATAATCTGTGGTACTAGAAGAGACACACAAGTCACGACACTGGATTCTTTGCCTTAAAAAGCATTAACATCTGCAAATTTGCCCATACCATCCAGATTATAATGTGCAGCCTCAAGAGAACTGGAAACCCTCTTCCCCCGTGTGTGTGTGTGTGTGTGTGTGTGTGTGTCCCATGCTTGCACAATTCAATGGATGCCTTAAATAACATAAACTAGTCCACCCAAGCAGGCCAAGCCCAAACCTATAAGAGATGCAGAATAGCTAGCTAATCCGAACTGGCTAGTTCAGATTGGCCCTCCAGATGTTGATGAACTACAAACCTCATCATCCCACACCATTGGTCATGCTTGCTGGGGCTGATGGAATGATGGAATCCAAAAGGTTCCCCACCCTGACCAGTTAAGGAACCATGTGAAAAGCAATTGTTCATACTACACCAGAAGTTGGATCCAGAGATTGCCCTTCTGTGAACGATAGGATTGCAGCCCTTTGTGGAAGGGAGAGCCAAGGGAGGTTCGCAATGGAGGAAAGGCGGCGTGGACGCAAATTCCTGATTCCTCCTTTCCCCTGTTGCCCCCGCGTGCCAGATGAAGGGACCCCCGTCTTTCCAGAGCAGATTTTTAGGGGGCATGGGAAGTGGGATGGGAAATCGGCAAAAGTCATATTACCCTGCCACCATTTCTCCAACAGGAGTGTCCCATATGTGGACCACTACCGTTGAAAAGTCTGGATCCAACCCCATATAAACAAAGTGCAACACAATCAGTCTGCCTTCTCCCACCCTGAACTTTAGATTTTGCTTCAACATAAGCTGTCTTATACCAAGCAAGATTACTAGCCCTTGTACCACAGGCAACAGTTATCTGAGGTCTCTTTCAACTGGGCATGCCAGGGATTGACTATGGAACCTTCTGCATGCAGGGCCTACGCCAACTTTTCTCAACCTGGTGTGCACCATATATTCTTCAACTTCCAAACTCCCCTTCAACATGGCCAATGGTCTAGAATTATGGGAGTTGGAGTCAAAGAACCTCTGGAAGGCACCAGGTTGAAGAAGGCGGTCCCATGCCATGATATAGACCGATAGCTCTCCCCCACAAAATCCCAACGCGCAGGCCCACTAGAGGCTGCCCTTGAATCAAGAAGGGACACGTAAGAGTATCTGAAGGAGGAGGAAAGAGAGCAATAATTGGAGTACAAGCTAAAGACCAGACAGCAGCTAAACTCGGATAGAAAAGTGCTAGACAGTGGCCCTTGCCTCAATTAAAATTTGCAAGGCTGCACCAAAATATGTGGCATTGTTTTCAGAGGTTGTGTTAAAGCCATATCTTTTTTTTTTTTTTAGTTTCAACAACAAAAAAAGAGAGAAGAAGTTTATGTGGATCTTATTGAAGGGATTGGAGAGGAAGGGAGGGAAAGCAGTTCCGACTCACAGCAGCTTGCTGTTGCTTTAGTTTGTCTCTGTATTCTTCCAGTTCTTGAAGACTAAGAACAGGAGGCAGCTTCTGCAGGTAAAGCATAAATAAAATCCAGTTAAATCCCCTGATATAAACATCGCACAATTGCTGAATTATTTAAAAGGCCCAATGAGCACTGGGACAACACCCACCCAGCATCACCACCATGGGTATTAGTGGGCTTTGGAGGCGTTCTACCAAAACAACAACAGGACAGATAAATTTATTTTGAACATTAAAACAAAAAACAAAAGCAGATTCGGTACTATGAAGCCCAGCATGTGTGTGTGCATCAGAAATCTCTGTCATTCTAATTCAAATAATTCTCTTACCTCCAACTCATACTTAACAATGTCAAAGGAATCACTGGAAAAATAGACTTCTTCAATGCTGTTAATTAATTCTTGCTGAGCTTGAGGATCAGTTGGTTGTTCCCGGAGCTCTCTAAGTTCCTCCTTAAACACACAATGGGTTCAAATAAAGTATTATATACTGGACAGTGATATACCGCCAACGCAATTTCGCCTTCCAAAGGATATTCGCAATACAAACCAGGACGGAGGATTAGGTATGCAGCAAATGGGAACTGTATTTTCTTATGTTTTGAATAAAGAAACACTTTTCGACATTTCGTCTTGGCGAAATGTCACTACCCTTCTCTCACAATGCAGAATGTTATTTTGTAAACCTTCACTACACCTACTGGCAAATTAAGACATGTTGCTTTTGGGTCTGCCTCTGAGGAACCTCAACTGTTTAGGCCTCATAGCGTTACACACACACACACACACACACAGCATGTATCATTCTATCATTTTTAACCAATTATGCAAAACTTGGAAGTTAAACTGTTCTGCCTTAAGAGGTGCCTCACAATCTGAGGCCCTAAAATGTAGCTTGCTTAGTTTGTGAGCAAATCTGTCACTACCGTTGGAGGAAACCGGGTTTCCCTTCAGGCCTTCCAAAGTTCAAGCACTGACACTTGAGGTTCCGCAGAGGAAGACCCAGAAGCAAGGTGTCCCCACTTCACTAGGGCATGTGACAAATGTCTCTCACACTCTCTCTAAATGGTTGCCAGACCAAACAAGTGAAACTTGGAAGTGGCACCATCGACCACCTAAGCCACAGGTTGTCCCAGACCAATCTTGCCCCCCTTCTAATAGCAAAGGGGAAAAAAGATTTTCGCTGTCCACACTGCGTACCTTACGCAGCCCTGTGTTTAGAGGGAGGCCAACATAAACTAGAGACAGTTGCCTGGACGAGTTTTCTTTTATGCTGGCTAAACATTTGTTTTTTCAGCGGACAAAGATACTTTACTTAGTGAAGTTCTGTCAGACTCCTTCCCTTCCCCAGGGCTACAACTGTTTTGCACACAGATACAGCCAACTGGGGCTTTCAGAGGATCTCCTGGGTGCTGCAGCTTTCCCAATCGCCAAGGCCATGTTAAAAACTAGGCTGTGGGACATAGATCGCCAGGAACTAATCTCAGCTGCAGGAAAAACATGTTCCCCTCTTTATTTTCGACTCTCTTGGGAGCAGGAATTTAACCTTAATTGTTTACAATTTTTGTTTAACCCACAAGAAAGAAGGGCTTTTTCGCTGGCTAGGTTCAATTCTAATCCTTCTAACCTCCTTTGGGGTAGGTTTGCGGGTATGGCAGAAGGAGATAGGATCTGCCCATGCGATGCCCACCTGGTGGAAAGTCTAGCTCACATGGCCCTTAAATGTAAAATGTATGATGATCTCCGCCAACAATTTCTAGACCATCTATGTATTCCAACATGGAAACCAGAGACGGAGGTTATACGCTTCTTATTACAGGGGAGAGACCAGGAGCTCACCAAGACAGTAGCTAAGTTCCTCTATTTGATTTTTTGTCGCCGAAGTACGCTACAGGATCCTGCCCTTGCTGGAGACCCACAGAGATGAAATAGATTGCTCTCCTCTTCTTCCCTTTGGCAAATGACTGTACTGTTGAAATGGCGATGAGATCGCACTGGCCTATTTATTCTGAGTGTTTGTATGTGATGCCAATAAAGGTTTGATGATGATGAATAGCAATGGGGGGAAAGGGGGACCCTACATTTGCTGCTCTCTGTTGTCCTAAGAAAAACAGACCTGCTCTATTAAGGCAAAATGAAACAGTGGGATATTCTGCTAATCTTCCAGCAGAACACGGAGGGCCGATTTCGGCAGCTCCCAACACTATCATTATGTGGCCGTGCACCTACACATGCAATTATATATCTCATTAGTACGGCAGCCTCTATGCCGAGCAACAGTAAAGTTGCTAGCGGATAGTTTTAATATATTTTATGAGACACTGAGATATTTAATTTGTCACTTTTCAATTTCACACAGCTGCAGAACACATCCAACATGTTACTTGAAAACAGAATAATAGTTCTACAACATCTCAGATTTAATTAACAGTACCTGAATATTTAATAGATCTCTGCCTGAAATAAAAAAATAAGATTTTCTCTAGTCTAATCATCACAGTACGATTGCATAAAACATTAATTTGACTGCTCTAAAAGCTATTCCATTAATTTCTCAACTTGAGCTCACCGTGCATGACTAATTAACAGCTTAACCAAAGAGAAACCAATCAAGAAATAGACAGAAAGCAGCAATCGCACAACGACCAGTTCACATGTAACACTAAGCAAACCACAGGGGAGAGAGGCTCCATCTCCTTGGTCATTTTGGTTGCCCTATTCTGAACTTCTTCCAACTTCAGCATTTTCTTTTTGAAGTGAGGTGGCCGGTACAGAGTATTCCAAATGCAGACACACCCTATAATGGCATTATATTGGCAGTTTTATTTTCAGTTCCTTTCCTAATGATCCCTAGCATGGAATTTGCCTCCTTTTTTGCAGCTGCTGAACACTGCAAAAGCATCAAGCTATCCACTATAACCCCAAGGTCTCATTCCTGGTCAGTCACCACCAGTTCAGATCCCATGAGAGTAGATGTGAAACTAAGATTTATTTATTTTTGTCCCAGTATGCATCAAGATTGTGTCTGATTTTTCTCTTGCTGCTGTGATGATACGGTAAGCCAAGTCATGGTTCCACTTAGCCTTATATCTGAACCTAAGCTGGAGTTAAGGTTTGTCCTATTAACGGCCTCAAAAAATAGCATGGTGGCAGCAGAACCAGAGGAAAAAGGCGGACGCAATCTCCTCTCTGAGAATATGCCCATTTGCACATTCACACTAAATAACACATGGAAGTTAAACACGAACTGAGCCACTAAAACCTCAACATTTGCACCAAAATGGAAAGGCGTGACCATTCTATGTATTACAAGACTCCTATATAGGAAGTCAAAAATATAAAGAGCAAATTAGAGAGTCAATTGGATCCTTAACTGAAGAGAAAAGAGAAGCTAAAAAGAACAATAAAAAAGGACTTGAACAGTGTTTACATGCTGCTACTTTTTCTAAAGCTGGGGATTTTGTAAAGCAGGGGATTCACAACGGAAGGGAAAGAAGGAAAAACGCAATGTACAAACTCACAGAGTGCTCTGCTCCCACTAACACGAACAGTGGCATCGGGTGGTATGGAAAATGCAGCTCTGTCCAAAGCAGCAAAACAAAACACCTCCATGCCCAAAATAATCTCTCTCCCTACTGTTAACAAGTGGGTGCAAAGGCATTGCTATTTTTTAAACGAAAGTGCTTGCACACCCACCCATCCATCCATCATAATAAATTGGGCCACAAAGGTCCAATGCCAATGTAACTTTCCCATTGTTGGAGACTGTGCTTATACAAATTCTCTTTCTCTTTCCTGCTTGAATCCTTTCACTTCCCACCTGAGACCGAAGTCTTAACTGCAGACCAACTGCAGATGCAACTGCCTGTTTTGCAGCCTTGTGCGTTGATGTTAGCGCAAAGAACAGAGTTCACGGTATTGGCCTAACAACATGTTCTCTTATCCATAGAGACTCTTGGGGTACTATCTGCAGGAGATACCTCAATAGCATTAAACAGGGGAAACTACATTTCTAAACCCCAGAAACAAGAAAACTCTCAAAATTTACTTTTGCCAAAACAGCTCAGAAGTTACAGTGGTACCTCAGGTTACATACGCTTCAGGTTACATACGCTTCCAGTTACAGACTCCGCTAACCCAGAAATATTACCTCAGGTTAAGAACTTTGCTTCAGGATGAGAACAGAAATCGTGCTTTCGCAGCATGGCAGCAGCAGGAGGCCCCATTAGCTAAAGTGGTCTTCAGGTTAATAACAGTTTCAGGTTAAGTACGGACCTCCAGAACGAATTAAGTACTTAACCCAAGGTACCACTGTATTTCTAAACCCCAGGAAACCAGACACGTTCTTTGTTGAATGGAAGGATGTTGACACATCTCATTTTCTCCTCTCCCTGATCCTTGGTCAGGAAACATGAAGGCACCTCTTTTTTTCTCATGCTGCCTACCAGACTGAGAGGCTGGTCTTAGCAGAAGGAGGGAAAGATAAGAAGCAGGAAGGGCAGAGGAGAATAGAAAAATGGGGCCAAGCAGGATGGTCCGCCCTCCCTGAAAACACTGAGCAGCAAATTGCCCAGGAGGACAATTAAATGAACTGTAACTATTCAAGTGGTGAATTTGCAAAGAAATGGGGGCTTAACTTGATTGCGGGGGAGTTAAGATTTCGAAGTGCTTTTGATTCAACTACACATCGCTAGACATAAAAACAGGAGAGCAAATTCAAATAATTGCCAACTGGTATGTGAATCTATTTTTTATGCATCATCTAAAATTTCAGGAATTAAACACACTTACTCCTCTGAAACATTCTGAGTGCAGGTTCAGACTTTGGCTGTTTCAATTAGTTATATTAATGTGCCACCTTGTGGACGATCTATGAAATTACAGTTTCAAAAAGCAATGCTAATATTTTGGTTTCTTAACACAAAGCAAAGGTGATGGTCAACTTCGCAGAACGGAAGCTTCTACATAGCTCCACAGTAGCAACTCCTAATATATTTTCCATGGATGAAAATCCATTGACCACAGATCCTACAAGTGCCCCCAAATTTAACAATAGCCCATGAATAAATCCACTTGATTCTGGCAAAAGGATACCAAAAATGCCACCTTCTAAAACCAACCAATTATCACCCAGGGGTTCTTCAGAATCTAACACATAACTATTTAGCATAGTGGCTAATGAAATGTATCCATCAGTGACTGAGGTGTATAGAAATTTGTTTTATGGTGGATTTTGTTTTTTGTTTTTTACTATTACGGTAATTAGATTTAGATTTTATTTGTTTTAAAAGTATTTTCTCCCCTTTGGTTTAAAAAGAAATCTAGATTTAATAGAAACATGTTAAAACATGTTAACAAAAAATATTTAATGCCTTCAAAGTGAGACATGAACAATAACACATGTGCAATGGCAGTAAGTTGCTTTTATTCCTAAGAGAGCGAGCTGAGGAGAG